ACTCTTGTGGGACACTCTTGTAGGACACTCTTGTGGGACACTCTTGTGGGACACTCTTGTAGGACACTCTTGTGGGACACTCTTGTAGGGCACTCTTCGCACGAGACTTCCTCCAAAAAGTCACACGTCAAGTCTCCAAAACGAGCGTTTCGTACGAGACTTCCTCCATAAGTCACATGTCAAGTCTCCAAAACGAGCGTTTCGTACGAGACTTCCTCCAAAAAGTCACGTGCCAAGTCTCCAAAACGAGCCTTTCGTACGAGACTTCCTCCAAAACTCACATGTCAAAGTCTGCAAAACGAGCATTTCGTACGAGACTTCCTCCAAAAGTCAAGCGGAAACACCCATCGGAGCACACACATCACGCAGCCCTGCCAAGCAGTTTCGCGAGTCCAGCCCCTCCAAACAATACCACGCCAATGCCAGTGTGACTGCGACATTCACCTCTACCACAACTCACGACCTCTCCCACGAATCTTTCCGCATCCACACGTCTAACGCGCACAAAGTACTGCGCCTGCCACGAAATGTCACACCTCGCAACCTCACGATTCCCTGCGCCTGCCACGAAAATCGCACTTCCACACCTCAAAATCCGCACAAAGTACTGCGCCTGCCACGAAAAGTGACAATACCATCTCATGTGAGCTTCAACAAAATTTGCACCACACCACACGTTTGGAATGATTTCGACCCGTTCTGAGCACACTCCCATCCACCAAAATCGGCACTTCAGCTGAGACTTGTCACGAAAACAGAGCTTCGATGCCACACCCTGAAACGCAAATCCCAATGGCACGGCCACATCCAACACCAAAAACACGACTCTCCAAACGCTAATCCCAATGGAACTGCGTAGCAAACTGCGGATCTCACAAAACGCTGCGCCTGTGCAGCAAAATGCATCACGTTTCTTGCGCGACATGTCACTTTCATGCAAATCACAATGGAATAGCATCGCAAACTGACACGTGACACATCCATGAAAAGTCACTTGCAAAAGCTTCCCCCAATGGCAGCGCCTTAGCGCTCTACTGCGAACACCTGCGAACGGTTGCGGACGGTTGCGAACGGTTGCGGACGGTTGCGAACATAGAAACAACGGGTCGCGAACAAGGCTCTACCCCCAGACCCCCAGAGTTAAACGAGAACCCTTCGCTACGCATTCGGGAAAAAAGGTGCCCCTGGCAACACCTAGAACTGCCAGAACGTTTATCTTCAATCATATCCTCGATCCCACAACAAGACTGGCAAGCTGCAAGCATCTCAATTCCGTGACTCTTGAGAGGAATTCATTATAATTCCAATCCGTTAATCGAAGGATGTGGAAGGTTTCATTGTTTGGTTGCAGGTGTTGAAGCCAACTAGGGTTGGAGCAGGTTGGAGCCAAACGTTTGCAAAGGTATCATCTAGTCATTGCATTGCTGCATTCTGCTTTTACCATCTTTTACCCCTCTCTGTTCTCACGAAAGGGACCAACCCATGATCCTCCATGTGTGTCTGATCTTCTTTCCACTCATCTGAAGTCTACAGTGTCTAAATTCAGAAGCGATTTCTCTCCATTGCCCAAGGGCCCATAACAGCACATCCAAATCATCAATGCCTTGATTTTCTTCTCCACTTGCTCGGTGAGGCTTTGATGTTGCTGCCGAGAGTCCTGCGGCAACATCGGTATGCTTCGCGTGTTCCACATGTCCGGCCACAAGGCATGCAAATTTTCTCAAATTTCACTTTTGAGGAAACGACATCAACTCAGAGGGTAGAGCAGCCGCTAGGAGGTAGGAATATTAGGAATGGCAGCTGAAGCTACTATTAGCAGGAGAACCCTTCGCATGATCGAAACAGTTCTAAAAAGAGGAAAGCAAAAGGTTGATTTTGATTTGGGCCTCTCTAATGAGATCCCTTCAGAACATTCAAACTAACAAAGCCCAAGTCCACCTTCTTACGGTATATGTTCTTATAAGTTGCACTTCGTTACACTTCATGTGCCTCCTGTGCTTGTGCTAAGTTGCTTTCTGCGTCAAGGAGAGCTGATTTCGCCTGCAAGCATCCCAACAAATGCCAGACTTGGGCAACTACCACCTAATTGTTTTAATAGTAACAAGTGCCACGCTAGTAGTAACAAGTGCCTTACTAGTAGTAACAAGAAGCTATTAGAATTAAATTAGATTAAAACAAAATAATAGCTTCTTGTCCCTAGTAGCGTGGCACCTGTTACTACGAGTAAGGCACTTGTTCCTAGTAGAATATGTATATACACAGTATATGAATGTGTATGATGCGTCTTGAGTCGGAGCATGTTGAAGCTTTCCAGAGTGATGCAAACCAGTTCTTCCATCATTTCCAAAAAACGTGCTGGCCTGTTCGTGTTCCTTTAAAGCTGCTTTTGCTAAAGCTTGTTGCTGGGAGGAAAGCGGCAAGAGCTTTTCAGCCCTGACGTCTGCCAAATCTAAATTCAGACTTTCAAAGTCAAAAGGAGAAGCAACTGTAAATACTGGCCAGAAACGAAATCAAACCTAACCTACCCTGCATTTTATGACTCATGACTCATGACCATAACTTGTAGAAAGGGAGTATTTAAAAGCCAAATGTGGCACCAATTTAATCAAGCCAAAGCAGCTCTGTGCCAACAATGCTCCCACTCGTCGACATTCGCACCTTATTAACGTGATGATTTTGCTTTCATCTTCATTGGTTTTCCTTACACGCAACTGATTTCGAGCCACCTCGAAAATCGGGGGCTGAATGTCCAGCTGTACCTCCCCAGCACGAAGCAACTTGTTTGGATGTCAACCAACTTGTTTCATGCGGAGCCGAATGGTTGTTTGCAACCAGCGAGAAAGGCACCAGCGAAAGCTCGCAAAAGCCTTTTCCGCGTCGGATGGCCATGTCACCTTGGTTAAACAGTGGCAGCACTGCTAACATGGGTTCCATCAAGTCACAGCGAGCATTATTGAGCAAGTACTTCAATTCCACATGCGGAAAACATAGGCGACGTCCAAACCCCGGCGCCATTCATGTGGTCGTTCAGAAAATTCAATGTTCTGAGGCCAGCAACCAAGTTTCCACTGCCCAACGTGCGGTGGTGCAGTGGCCTGACATTGTTGAAACGTTTGAGAGCAAACTGACAATGGTGCCTGCGAGAATACATGGAGAACTGTGGAGAGTAGTTGTAAGTTTTGGCAAGCAAACACACAAAACACACCGTTGAGGGGAAGTAGAAGAAAAGTGAAGACCTCTTGACAGCGAAGCGCGTGCTGTGCACATGAAGCAACTGTGGAAAATTGCTCCGCAAAAACGTGTGCCGAAATGATGCTAGAGAAATTATGTGATGTTCAATTCTAATTATTGTTTCTAATAGCTTCTTGTTACTAGTAGTAAGGCCAGGAGCCCCTAGTAGCGTCCTTGCTCCTACTAGCGATGCCCTTTGCTACTAGTAGCGATGCCCTTGTTTGCACCTCGATCTTCCGCCGCAAGTCGTCTAAGGTTGTTTCGTGCTGCTGAACTTTTGTGGTGAAGTTCTCCACCTGTCTCGTGCAAAACGTCGAAATGCCAGGGTGTTCCAAACAAATGTCAACAAAAAGAAGCACAAGTGTTCAACACCATGCCTAGCAGGTACAATATAATACTGTAGTGAATTGTTATTACTGTAATTCCATGCAGTGTCAGGTTTCTGTGGCAATGTGCTGGCGCCTGCCGCTGGAGCACCTCGACCCGTTTAACCGAGCGCTCAACAGCATCCTGATCAGATCAGTTAGCTAAAAAGCACAGAAAGAGCTCCAAAGAAAAACAGAAGTGTGAATAACGCCTCCACAATGCTGCAAAGTGTGATTGCATGTGATTGCCAACCTGCCTTCAACTCGAAAAGCCCAAATAGAGCGTTCATCTCGTCCTTTCCCTCGGAATTTGACGACGTTTGACGAGGTTCAATATGGCTCAGCACTCGACCTTCACCGCGGTTTCTTTGGTCTTCTCCCACGCCTGGGGTTCACAAGCAAATCTGAAGGATTTGTCTGAGCAAAGGCTGAATGTTTGAACCCTTGTCCCCGAATTCTACATCCCTGAATGTTCGCCTTGTTTGCAGCATCGGCCAAGTTGGAAAATTCTGCAAGGTCGTCATCATCTTCCTCGGCACCAACAGCTTGTGCCAATACACTTGTCTTGTTCCAGCCCCTGTAAGCCAAGTGCCTTGTCCGGTGCAGACTTTGAAGAATGGGCCTTAGAGCATCGTGAGTCTAGCAGTCTAGCAACAATATCAAGAAAATTGATTTAGAGGAACAGAAGGAAGGAAGGCAGGCAGGCAGGAAGGGAAGGAGGGAGGGTGGCCTTGTTAAAAGGGCCCTTACGATTCCTTTTGTCCTTCCTTTCTATTTATACTTACAGCATATGATGTTAACAACAATATATATATATATGATTATATAATATACGGTACGCAATAATGCATCCGTATTACTCATCCGTATGCATCCCATCGACATGACTTAGATCGACCGACTCTTCAGACCGGACATCTTCGGTGTTTCCCACGCAGTCTAGACTACTGTCAAGTGACGCACAGAGTCGCTAAGATGATCATGCAAAAGGTGCTGTTCCAAGCTCTAATGCAAACATTTACTCACGAAAACAGTAAGTTGTTCGCTTTCTAGCTTGCGGACCTGCACACAGCTCTTTCCTTTAAGCTCTGAGCTCCTCCGCTTGGGGCAGTGGTAGCAACACTCTTGACTCCAGCCTCGAAAACAACCCAAGAATTGAGCTTCTTCTTAGATTCCTCCCAAGAATTCAGCTTCTTCTTAGATTCTTCCCAATCTTTTCTCACGGTTGGGCTCCTACTTTTCGATTTTCCTGCCACTACCTGAACCAAAATGGCAATATATTATCTGAAATTCTGAGAGAGAAACTCAACAACAATGTGCTGTTGATTGCCGCTAAATGAAATGAGAACAAGATTCTGGTGACCTGGTCTGCTTGCTGCTCTTGTTAAGTGCATACACAACGTGCTTTCATTGAACTCAAGGTTTCTGAGACATTTCTGGATTTTGAATGCAAATCTCCTAAACTAGCTTTCAACATGAACACTTGGAGAACTGGGCACCACCACTCTGAGCCAAGTCTGTGCCACCTTTGAGCCATCCGCAGGTAGCGGAGCCTGGCTCCAGTCTCGCATCATTCACACGTAGAGATGAGATAAACGTCGGATTGGATGGTTTGATTTGTGAATAGTGACACGCCATTTTGTTCGCTGCACATTCAGGACATTACCTCTTGATTTACACAAGCTTTGTCGAGAACCCTTAGAAGGTTTACCAAACATCATAAAGATCAGGGGCTTTACCTCCATGAACTGCTCCAGCGTGGCCTTGTCCTTGTCTTTGGCAGCGTTGGCCTTCGATGCCTTTGGCTTGCGCCATGCATCATTGTTGTTGGCCTATGGCGGTTCCAGCTGAAGATATGTTCGATCAAATCCAACCCTTTGATTCTCAGATTGAGCGATTGGAGCATAATTCTCAGATACTGTAGTCTGAAGATGTCTGAAGTCTAAGCCGGTCCAATCGCGCCAGCAATCCCACCTCTGGCTGTGTCCGGTATCGCCTGTGTGTCCGGTATCGCTGATTCCAACATATCTCACATCTAGTCACTTTCATCGAAGTGGAAACATTGAGAAACATATGTTTAATACACAGCAGCCCAGCCGAAGGTGGCCTGAGCACACTATTGCCCATTCTATCATGGAGCCAGCCTTGGGCAAAATGCATGTTTGCAACTTTAGCTCCAAGTAATCTCGTATCTGTAGAATCTGACCTCATGAGAGAGGGCACCAATTCATTGCAGCGCTTGTTTGATTTATTTGTTCCTTGAGCAGGTTCCCGTCATCATGCGTGCTAGCATCAGTAAGTGAGTAGCCGTAGACTGTGTGATTGCTATTGAAAAGCTCTTTTGTGCAATGCCCCTTTTGCTCGTGAGCATTGATGCTTCATCTTTGCATGTCCCCGCACTCTTCCTGGCTCTACCACTCTACCACTAAGTGCAAAATTCAGTGCCATGCCGCCATGCAAAGATCGTTGGATACCTTTCTGACCTGAACTTTGTCACTGGGCTCTCTGGTGTTTCCCACATCAGCTTTGGCGAGCACTGAAAAACTGCGGAAAGGAACCGGCCTTGTGGCGTTGTTTGACCCCACCATTACAAAGCAAACTTGGCAAACGATCATGAGAACGCGCTTTCGATGATGAGGGAGTAAGCATTGCATTCTGACTTTGCCAATTTGCCTACATATACATATATATATATATTATACATATATTTTTGTATGCAAACGTTCAGATTTCGTTTTGTATACCAAGTGCAATCTGTTTGGAGTCTTTTCTGGAGAGCATGGATCAAAAGGGCTTTGGAGTAGAGGCTTGCGGCTTGCCAGGCTGGAGCAAAGCACCCAGAGGAAGTTCAGCGGGCTTTGGTGGGGTAGCTTCGAGTTTTTCATGGTTTTTCTGGTTGCATCTTGCAATGTCTGCTCTATCACCTCTGTCGGAGTGGCAGCTAAGATCTGGAGGGGGCGGGGGGTTGAGGTTCTGATCTGCCAACCTTCGACCTTCCAGTCACGCACCTGACCAGTCCTAGCTCAAGACCACCCCATTGTGCAGCATCCTGAACCGTAGACCAATCATCGAGAGTAGACCGGTCAGGAAGCAACCCGATCATCCACCCCACTTAACTTTGGGTGAAGGGGGGTCAACCCAGGAACTTGAGCCAAAATGGACGGTCAAGTCCCACCCATCCATTCTAAAGAAGTTCTTCCACCGCTAATTGCTACTACGGGCATTGTGCCCTACACTGCAAATGTCTTGGAACAATTATTTATACATATGTATATATCATATGTTTTAAATAGTTACTGTATTTTCATTGACCACACACAACTTGCGCTGCAATCCGCACGCGCCTCTAGGTCCTTCCCTTTCAGGGGGTACCAGAGGTCAAGCTAGACACCAAACCTGTAACAACACGTGCAATGAAAACTGCAGAAGACCCCCGGACTATCCCCAGGGTAATCTCAATGCGAATTATCGGTCCATGGCAACCGGAGATGGTATATGCCTAATTCACAGATCAAGACGGATAGTATCCAAGGATTTATGTGTACGAATGCACTTCTTGACTCGCTGGTAAAGATTATGGCGCTTAGCAAAAGGAATATCTGGTGGCAAGTGATTCCCATACAATGCGCACGACAAATTCGGGGTAAATGGGATTCGAACATTGAGCGGATATGGCAGTCCGGGGGGTGGTCGCATACTGGTGCAGTAACTGAATCGCAAGCTCACGTTGTGGCAATTGCGGGCGTGATGCGATGCCCCCAATCAGACTACGATGAAAGCCTAAACGAACCATTGTGGACGCACCTGTTTTTGTGTATCTAGGGTACAACTTTGTCTGCGCTGTACTCTAGATATTGGACTACATTCCTGAAATTATTTGCCTGATGCCATAAACTTCTCACTTCTGGTTTTTGTAAGGCAACTTCTGGGGAAGACAAATCAAGGGGATGTGCTGGTTGATTGTCATGAACTTGACTTGCAGTGTGGGTTCCTAAAACCCATGACTTCATCTCCATCTTGCCTCCCAGGCTGCTATGCCTTTTTGCTTCTTCACAGTGTGGTCGTTGTTCTAATCAATCTGCAGGCACAGAGTCGTGAGGTGCTCGAATGTTTTGCCTGTACAGAAGTTTCTTCAACTCAAATAGTGGCAGCTATAATATATATAGTTCCTGTTCTGAGACCCTTTGGTGAATCTGAGGAACTTCGGCCCTTGTGTATTTCGGACTTCAACCATTTCCAATAACTCCAAAAATGTCTTCAACCGCCATGAAGTAACAGTACAGAATTTGTTGCTGGGCTTCAAACTTCGCAATTCATTGGCGATATGAAAGTCAACAAGCACTGCCTGCAGGAAAATGATAAGTTCAAAACGCATCTCAACAGCAAGGCATAGGACAGGACGATTTGACAAACTAGATCAAGTCAAAACATGAGTTATTACCAGCAACTCTGTTCAAGACCTGTATGTTGGCTGAAATTCATCTGGCACGTAGACAGGAAGTTCTTTGCCAACCTTGGACAAATTCATCAGGTGGCAGATGTTCTGTAAACAAATCGTGTCAGCATGGCATGTTGCAGTCAAAACATCAGGTGCATAGAAGTAGTAAGCCACATGCCTGATGTGCGCATCCAGCCTGAAGTGTTTGTTGATTCATTCTTGATTCCAACATATAACAAATTGATGTCTTTTTTGTCGAATCGGTCCAATTGAAACTGATAGTCTCATTGTGCAGCCAATAAAGCGGATGTCTGACTTCCAGGTGTCTCAGCGGTGTAGCTTGGCAAGAAACACCAGCCCAGCCTCACAGGGGAAGTGCTTGCGCAAAAGGTTGCAGTCATTCAGGAAAAAGAGCCTGAGCCCATGCTAGCAAATGTTCGCGCTGCTTAATGTTGTTTCTCAGCTTTCTTTCACTTGAACTACGGTCTGGGCTGCATCTTGTCACACGAAGATCCCCTGACCAAAAGCATGCACTGGAACTCAAGAGAATCTTCAGCGTATATCCATATTTATTGTGCACAGGACAATTACAATATACTTGCAAACTGTTGAGAAAAATAGTGCGTCCTCAGCTTGCAAACCTCATCACAAGACCTCAGCAGAATAATCAAGAACTCACCAACCTCCTCCCAAACTGTCCAGGGAGGGAGACTTAGATCAGTGCAACCCCCTGGCACCAGCAACAACTTCATAGCCAGGATCTAACCTGACATAAAAATGATATTGAATCTGACATGAGGTTGGAGGCCATCCCTATTAGGTTGGAGGCTGTTGCTACTAGGTGGGAGGCCATCGCTATTAGGTTGGTTGGAGGCCATCGCTATTAGGTTGGAGGCCATCGCTACTAGGTTGGAATTAGGTTGGAGGCCATCGCTATTAGGTTGGAGGCCATCGCTATTAGGTTGGAGGGCATCGCTACTAGGTTGGAGGCCATCGCTACTAGGTTGGAAGCCATAGCTATTTGGTTGGAAGATGTTGGAAGCCATCGCTACTAGGTTGGAGGCCATCGCTATTTGGTTGGAGGCCATCGCTATTTGGTTG